CTCTCCTTCTGTCACCTAAGCTGGAGTGCAGTGATGCAGTCCTAGCACACTGGAGTCTTAGACTCCTGGGCTCAATCTATGCTCCTGCCTCAGCCTCTTGAGTAGCTGGGACTATAGGCACAAGCCACTGTGCCTGACTAATTTTTCAGTTTTTTATAGAGACAGGGTCTTGCTCTGTTGCTCAGGCTGGTTTTGAACTCCTGGCCTCAAGTGATCCTTCTACCTCAGCCTCCCAAAGTGTTGGGATTACAGGCATGAGCCACTGAGCCCGGCTATGTGTACTTTGGAAGAATGTGTATTATGCTGTTTTGGGATGGTGTGTTCTAGAGATGTCTGTTAGTTCTGTTTGGTTTTTGTTCAAATCTTCAATTTCCTTCTTGATCTTATGAATGGAAAGTTGAGTATAGAGGGGAGGGATAGCATTAGGAGATATACCTAATGTAAATGATGAGTTAATGGGTGTAGCACACCAACGTGGCACATGTATACATATGTAACAAACCTGCACATTGTGCACATGTACCCTAGAACTTAAAGAGTGTGTGTGTGTGTATATATATGTGTGTGTGTGTGTGTGTATATATATATGGCAAACTGGACTTGCAGAATAGATCTTTTGGTCACTGACCCCACTCAGCTCAAATCTTTTAAAATATCCTGCTTATCTGTTGACCTTTTCCTCAAATCTTACCAAAAAAAGAAGAAAGGAAAAGAAAGAAAAGAAGGAAGGAAGAAAGGAAGGGAGGAAGCTTCGGAGGAAGGGAGGAAGGGAGGGAGGGAGGAAGGGAGAGAGGGAGGGAGGAAGGAAGGGAGGGAGGAAGAGCCTAGAAAGACTTGAAATCTTAATCAACCATTAGAGGCAGTAGAAATAGTATACCCAGATATTTCTCCCCAAAAGAACATAGGACTTTTATTGGTGGTGACGTAACAACTCTACTTAGTGAAATCTGATCGAGTCCCTTAATGGTGAAATGACACCCTGGGTGGAGCCAGTTATGCTGTTTCACTTCAAGCCGTCCTCTCCACTTTCCAGACTATTCCTACGGGAGATGATTATTAGCCTGTTTTTTTCCAATGGTTTGTTTAAAAATAAGCAAAATTTGCCTTTTCCTGAGAATTACATGGACTTCTGGAAGTACCTTTCACACCGCTTGTAAGTGGGCTCTCCTCCCTTTAACACCCACCCGTTTTTTTCGTATGAATTCTTATTTTTTTTTAAACCTTAAACCTTTTCACTTATAGCTTTCAATCCTCATTTTGAACCTAATAGGAAATCTCTGTTGGGCTTCAGCACTTTCTGTATTTAACACCATGTGTTTCTTTCTAGGATTTAGATGTTATGCATGGAAAACTATGTAGCGAATGGTTTTATAAGATGTTATGCATGGAAAACTATGTAGCGAATGGTTTTATAAGTTCTAAAGCTAGCGAATGGTTTTATAAGTTCTAAAGTTCTGTATTTTCCTATATCAGAAAATAAAGATGGAGGAAGCTATGACCTACCAAAAAAAAAAAAATCAAATGCCCAGCTATTATTGTTTACTTGTGTATTTCTCCCTTCATTTCTTCAGCTGTTTCTTCATGTGTTTTGACGCTCTGTTGTTGGGTGCACATATGTTTATGATTGCTGTATCCTCCTGATGATTGGCCCTTTTATCATTATTCAATGTCTTTTTAATACCTAATAATATATCTTGTTTTAAAGTCTATTTTGTCTGATATTAGCACAGCCATTCCAGCTTTCTTGTGGTTTCTTGGTATTTTTTCTCATGTATTTACTTTAAATATGTTTTTGCCTTTGAATATTCTATAAACAGTATGTTATTGAATCTTATTGTCCAATCTGACAATCTCTGCCTTTTGATTTGATTGGTTATTTCATTCATCTTTAATGTGATTATTGATAGGTTTCCATCTGTCATTTTACTTTTTGTTAGCTGTGTGTCTCGTGTTTTTATTTCTTTCTTTATTCTTTACTGCTTTATTTGGATTATGTGCTTATTTTCTTATATAATGTTTTCAATTTTTAAATAATTTTTTCACTTAAAAAAAGTTTCCTTAGTGATTGTACTAGAGCTTACCCTATAAATCTTAGCTCACTGGAATCAGCCTCAGATTTATATTAATTTTATCCTAGTGAATTATATAAATGTTACTTCTATATAGCTCTATTTGTTTTCTCTGTTTTTTGTGATATTATTGTTACATATGTAAGATCTGTGTATGTTACAAACCCAACATGACATAATTATTACTTCAAATAATTGTGTCTTTTAAAGAAGCTGAGAGAAGAAAGGAGATACAGTATATGTTTGTAGATTTTGTTATATTGATCTTCTGATTTATCATTTATGAATCTCTTCTTTTGTTTCTGTGGATTCAGTAACCACTTGGAGTCATTTCCTTAGCTCAGTACAGCTTTGCTTCCACCCACCTTCTTTGTTATGCTGAAGTGGTCCATATTGAAAAGCATGCATCATACTTTCTTCATTTGAGTGTAATTAGTACAAAATATATTAATACCTTCTTTTCTTCTTTTAAAATAATTGTAACAGTTTTATTGAAGTGTAATTTACATGCCATACGAGTCATTAATGTTAAGTGTCCAAGTCAATTATTTTTTATAAACTTAAAAAGTTGTGTAGACATCACTACAATTTAATTTTAGAACATTTCTATCAACCCAGAAGGATCCTGCCTGCCTATTTGCAATCACTCCTCATTCTCATCTTGTTCTGTTCATACAGTTTTATATAACAGTTCTTCCTATGAAAATCCTTCTGAAAGAAATAATACAATAAATATTGATAATTATATAAAGGCTTATACTTTTATGTAAAATTTTTTCTTTTTAACTTTTTTTTAAGAGTCAGGGTCTCACTCTGTCACTCAGGGTGGAGTGCAGTGGCATGATCATGGCTCATTGTGGTCTCAAAATTCTGGGCTCAGTGATCCTTCCACCTCAGCCTCCTGAAGAGCTGGGACTACAGCTGTGTGACACCACACTCGGCTGATTTTTAATTTTTGGGTAGAGATGGGGTCTCTTTGTTGCCCAGGCTGATCTCAAACTCCTGGCCTCAAATGATCCTCCCACCTTGGCCTCTCAAAGTGCTAAGATTACAGGTGTGAGCCATTGCGCATATCCGCCTTTATATATAAATTTAAAGACATAGAAATAACCTAATACTACAAATAAGGGAAGATAAGAAAATTATCTTTATTTAATGGATTTTATGTTTATATTACATTACACACTTTTTTAAACCTAAAAGTGTTAGATTTAATTAATTATTATATAAACGTGTTTTCCTCCTACAAACCGAAATAGGGTATGGTATATATCATGGGCTCAGAAAAACTAAGACCAATGTTTTTCCAAATAAAAATAGATTTTATTAGATATCTCACATTTCCACAAAATGATTTTAAATCTTTTAAGAGAATATATTAAAACTTGTTAATTCCGGTGTAAGCAGTATGAACAAAATGAAAGCAAGAGTTTTGTTCTAGACAATGGGATATACAAATGTTTCAGCAGTGGTAAAATGCAGACACAGAAAGCTGATTTCAGCGTTTAACAACATACCTTATGTGTTTTAAATCAGTCACTGTTTTTTTAATGTAGATATGCTGAGTTCTTAAGCATTCTAGTGATAACACTACCATCCTCATTCAAAAAAAAGTATTATCAGTGAAATACTTCAGACTACAGCATATACAAATTTTTAATTATTCATGTTGCTCTTGTCTTGGCACATGCCTAGTAGTTAATGGTTTGCATCCAGTTTTGTATTAGATAGTCTCTACACACTAGTCCAGAAGTAAAAACTGACATGTTTGGTCTGCAAAGTGTTAAAATGTTTGAATTAGATTTTAAAATATAGTGATTTTAGATAAAAATTCAGATTTCATGTTTCTCTTGAAAAATATGGAAGAACTAGCAACATTGAACAACTGACTTAGGGGCCACTTTTAGAAAGAACAAACATTCTCCAGTTTGAGGAAGTTCCCATCTGGCCCAGTTCATTTATGCATATCTGTGCACCTCCCATAAGAACTTGAGTTTGGGACATTTGATTTAACCTTATTATAACATTAGAGTAAGAAAATTGGAGGCACATCAGCTAAATGATTTCCTCAGCATGAAAGAGATAATTAGTGGCAGAGTCAGGATTTTAAGATGATTTCACTATCGATACATTGAATATGGACTATAAATCAGAAGACTTAGAATTATGTGCTGGTCCCTTCTACATCTTAATTTCTGTAACATTCAATTTTCATAATTGTGAGTTGAAATTAATAGTAATACTGATATGTGATTATTGCAAAGGTTAAATATTATTTATCATTATTAGATTCATATCTGTAGAGCAATTTTAACCACGTATAACAATACCTTTCTTGTTACAGATGGCATATGTTTAGTTTTTATCTTTCATAGAAAGTAATAACATGTTTTAATGAACTTCTTTTCTGAGTTTAGTATGTATATTGTGATATTATTATTGAGTGTCATTGGTATTTCATAGGTTGATTTGCTTTTAAGTAAGGATAGGAATATTTTTGCATATTAACTTTTTATATCCTAAAATGATGGTCATTTTTCTCTGTAAGTTATTCATGTGCCAGGCACTGTTTATTTACGTAAATACTTTTTAAAGTGTTAACAATAAAATTAAACTTATGCTATGATGTAGTCAAGTAAAATTCTATTTATATATAATATCAGGTTTGATATTTTTTTCTAATGAAATGATTTTGCCAGTAATGAAAAACTTTAAATTAGAAAATGAAGATCTGAGCATCTTTATTGCCATAATAAAACTTAGCTCTCACTGAATTAAAGTGACAATAACAAAGTAAGAAACACCACTGAATAGTCCCTGACACGTGAAAGGTGCACAAATAGTTTATTATTGTAAATGTTTCTCTGTTTTAAAACTTTTGAGTTTAATTATTGCTTTTAAAGGGTGTTTACCTTAGTTTTATTTTTTCAGAGTACCTTCAAGTTTAAATCTGAGAGTGATATTCATTTGGCAGAACATCATAAACAGGTTTTATATGATGGAAAACTTGCAAGTAGCATTGCCTTTACATATAATGCTAAGGCCACTGATGCTCAACTCTGCCTGGAATCATCACCAAAAGAGAATGCATCAATTTTTGTGCATTCCCCACATGCTCTAATGCTTCAGGTGTGTGAATTGTGGCTTTGTTTTCATGTTCTTGTTAGAATTTGACAGTAACTGTATTTTATATGTCAAACATTGCTCATCTATAAATCTATGATTTTTTGTTTCTTTTTGGCTTTTGCAGATCTTTTAAGTGAAACTTTAAAGAATGTCTCTCTTTTCTGTAGCAATATACTCTACCCTGGCTTTGTCTCCTTAGTAGGAAATCTGCCATATCTATTATATGTTACATAGCCTTTGAAATTAAATCAATTAACTGAATAAGTTAATTGTTAGATATAAAAACATACTTTGCTTTAAGAATGTATTACTAATATTCTCTAACAATAAAATTACTTGTCTTAAATCCATCAATAGTATTTCTGATTTTAAAATAACGTTTTATTTTAACTTCATATTTTTAGTGTAAAAATGTCTCAACCTAAGATTTGAAATTTAAAAGTGATTAGCAAAGGTATTCACTTTTTTGTCTTATATGTATATAGCAATTATAATTGAAGGCTTAAAAATGTCCAACTATGTTATTTAATTCCTTTATAAAGGTACTTGGAATAAGGAAATAGTGATGAAAATCGTTCTATAGAAGTTTAATACACATTTTTGTTTTTGGACATAGGATGTGAAAGCAATAGTAACACATTCAATTCATAGTGCAATTCATTCAATTGGAGGGATTCAAGTGCTTTTTCCACTTTTTGCCCAATTGGATAATCGGCAGCTCAACGACAGTCAAGTAGAAACAACTGTCTGGTAAGTTTTCTTTGCATGTACAATTGCTGATATTTTATACACACTTAGACTATGCATGATATACTCGGTGCTGTATAAATGTATTATGGTATTTGGGTTCTGCCCTTAAAGTACTAATAAAAAATTTTGGAACTAATGGAGATAGATATTTATACAATAAGTAAAGAAAACCCTGACATTTAGGTTGTTATATCATAAAGGAATGCCTTTCTTGATAATAAATAGCAAATTCCTACCAAAGATAGCATAGTGATTATAATATGTAGTTGAGGGAAAAATATTAATCCTGACCTTATCATTTGCATATACTCATGGATTGAATTGACCATGAAACCCTGTCAGGTTGAAGAAAATTACTAGGGTAAAGTTATTTAAAAGAATAATATTTATTAGCAATTACATAATTTATATCTTAAAAAGTGATACTATTTTATAATGCTTTTGTCATGGCATAAGTCTAGCATAATATTAATTGGCATCATCCCTTATTTATATATAGTTTATGTTTGAGGTCTTAAATCTAACCAGTGGCAAATCCATGTTTATGTAAAAATTAAATCTCTTCTAATGAGTGTGATTTCATGTGCATTTTTATAGTTTCTCTTTTATTTAAAAAAAATCATGTGCCAGACTCTAATTTAATGTTATAGCTTAGAATTATACATAAAAGAATTTAAAAATGAATTGTAGTAGTTATTTTGACTATACACATTGCCCTGCTTGGGGATTTTAATGGGCAAGTTATATAGATAAGCATTAATTTTATTCCAAAAGTAACACTATAGTGCTTCATTAGTATATATACATATAGATGAGCTCCTTCATGGGTTATCTAATTTTGAATTGATGGTGAATCTAGAAGGTGTGGGAAAAATTTAAGGTACAATGAAATACTTTTTCTCATAATTATTATCTAAATTACCTATTAATGAAATTCCATTTTAGTATTTCTAATAATGTTATTTCTGTTTTGGGAACAACTTTATGTAAAGTATAAATCTAAATATAGATATGAGATTTGTACATTTATAACATTCACTTCCCATCTATGGGTCTTGCCTTCTTTTATATCAATATAGTGTAAAGGTTGGAGTTTTGAAAGTAAAAAGCTTTGAAGTGAAAAAGAATCCTGAGGTTATGTCCTACTGTGATACTGTTTTGCTTGTAGATCTTAAATAATCTAATTGGAAGGCAGCTCAGCTTAGTGGAAAAATCAAACTTTAAATTTCAGTCCTTTATTTAAATTCAAAATGTTTTGCTATTTATCATATCAGTGAACTAGGACACATTATGATCAGTAATTTAAAATCTAGTCAGTACTGTGAAAAGAAGTGGGAGATGAAGTAGCCGCTAGAAAAATCCATGTATAATTTAAATATTTCTTATGAAATAATATGAAATACATATATTATAAAATCTTACTGCTAAAACCATATGTAATAGGTTATCTGGTTCATTCATCCAAGATGCATGTTTATTTTTACCGTCTTTCTTCAAAACTCATTTAATTTTTATATTACATCTTGGTATTTAACTTGTATTTATTTCATCATGGAGATAAAAGATAGTGTGAGGAGTCAGCATACCTATTTTCATTTTGATTTTAGTTCTTTTATATCATTCATCGTAATATCTCCCTATATCAACTAATTCCAACCTTTTCAGTGATGTCTATTTTGTCTTTAGTTTGTTTGTTTATTTATTTATTTGAGATGTAGTCTTGCTCTGTTGCCCAGGCTGGACTGCAGTGGTGCGATCTCTTGGCTCACTGCAACCTCCGCTTCCCAGATTCAAGCAATTCTCTTGCCTCAGCCTCTCGAGTAGCTGGGATTACAGGCGCCTGCCACCATGCCCAGCTAATTTTTGTGTTTTTAGTAGACAGTTTCACCATGTTGGCCAGGCTGGTCTTGAACTCCTGACCTCAAGTGAGTCACCTGCCTTGGCCTCCCAAAGTGCTGGGATTATAGGCATGAGCCACTATGCCTGGCCCTGTTTATAGTTTGCCAATAGAAAACATAACAAGAACGATACCACTCTCCTCTTTAAATATAATACATACTCAATTCCAGGCCACCCTGTGATTTAGTTATGTGCTATTTTGAATTCTTATCTATTACTTTTTCATTAATTATTTCAGTATCCTAAATATCTGAGATTTGCTCTTTGGTACGGACAGTTGTGTGGATCAGTAATGCAGTCTTTTGTTATTTAATGTTTTATAGGGAACCATTATAGAAAACTATTTGCATCGGTGAAATAGTCTTTGATTTTGCAAGCTGTTAAGTGGGATTTCTCCCTCTATTTGAAAAATACAGATTCATGACTGTGCAGGGGTTATAGAATTTTATGTTTTATGGCTATATCATCAGTTCGTATAGATGATTGGGACCTTGAAAAAGGATTTATCATCTTATTGTTAGTCAATAATAAATTGTTCTAGATCAAGGATAATCAATTTGAAGTTTTTAACTCTTCCAGAAAAAATTTAATATACTCCTTTTTGGAAGTCTGATTGCATAGTAAAGAGATGACTGAAAGTTGCAGTACTGTCTAATTTTTAATTGCTTTTTTGAGAAATGGAGCTAAGCTCACATATAAGTTACTTCTCTGCCCTCTGTGTTTCAAGCTGAAGCATTTTATCTTCCACATACTTTTCTCTGCTAAGTAGTGCCTTTTAATGAAAATTTTCAGTGTTTCTTAAGCCTTACCTCTGTTGTCACTACTACACTGTTTTTATCAACTTTGATGAGTTTTTACTTTATATAGGGGATTTAGAATTTTTAAAAATTATTGGCTGGGGATGGTGGCTTACGCCTGTAATCCCAACACTTTGGGAGGCTGAGACCGGTAGATTGCTTGAGTCCAGAATTTTAAGACCAGCCTGGACAACATGTCAAAACTCCATCTCTACAAAAAAATAGAAAAAATTAGCCGGGCATGGTGGCATGTGCCTGTAGCCCCAGCTACTGGGGAGGCTGAGGTAGGAGGATCACTTGAGCCCAGGAGGTGGAGGTTGCCATCAGCTGTGATCGCACTACTGCTTTTCAGCCTGGGTAACAGAGTGAGACTCTGTATCAAAAAACCACCCCGAATTATTGAAGCAATAATTTCATTTTCTAGAGTCTTCAAAGATGAATTTATTTTTGCTGGATAATTTTTGTGACTTTTTAAATTATGAAGGCCACTTCTTATAGTTATTATATATATGGACATTCAAGTCAGACAAACTTGGGTTCAAGTCTTGAATTTAGTATTTATTACTAGTGCAACTTTGTGTATGTGATTAATTTTTTGAGCATAACTCAAACTCTGAAGTAACATAGCTTTTGTATCTTGTGTCTAGAATGACTCAAGAAATCAAACAGAAACTTTATTTTCCTTTGAATTGGATGATTATGTAGACTGAGTACATACTATTCTTGTTGAGTACGTATTATTGAGTACATACATCTTATTGAGTACATATTACTGAGTACATACATCTTATTGAGTACATATTACTGAGTACATACATCTTATTGAGTACATATTCTTACGTTGAACTATTTTTTTAAGAACATGGGTAATTATGTAGGTGATACAAAATAAAACCTTCCTCATCGTGTGACCTAAGACAGCTTTGCTTTGAAAAAAATTTATGTTTTCTAGAACAAGGTATGAATTGAGTTTTGTATATCAAACAATTAAAAATACACCAAGAGATAGTTTCATTAGAGAGCAATGTGTGATATATTGCATAAGTGTTCTTTTGGTGGAAGACAAATTTAGACTCAAATCCCTGTCCTGTTTTATAGTGTCTCATGTTAGGTAATGGGATATTCATGGGTTTGTAGTAGTGGTACGTGGCATTTATTGAATACTTACTATGTGCTAGTCACTTTTTTTAAAAAAAAGTTTTATTGTGTATGTTTAAGGTATACAGCATGATGTTATGGGATACAAACAGATAGTAAAAAGGTTACTATAGTGAAGCAAATTAACGTCTGTCATCTCACATAGTTACCTATTTTTGGGGGGAGGGAAGCAGCTAAAACCTACTTATTATGAATCACATACAAAGTATAATTCTGTTACCTACAGTCCTCGTGTTGTGCATTAGATGTACTTGTTCATCCTACATATCTGGTACTTTATTTCCTCTAACCTACATCTCCCCACTTCCAAGCCCTGCTGCCCTTTCCCCTGATGGCCACTGTTTTGTTTTTTATCTCTGTATATATGAATTCTGTCAGTCATGCATTTTAATCTAATTATTTGCTGGTGAAGAAGAGAAAAATTGAATGATTTGTTCAAGATCACAGAGACGTAAGTGGCAGGACCAGGGTCCTAGTCCTGAAAGCCTGACTCTAGAGCCCTTACTCTAAACCACTGTGGACCACTCTGAGAATCACTTTTGCCAGCTGTGGAATGATTTTAATAAGTGCCAACTTTATCTGATTGTAGTATGAATTAAAATAAGACATGCAAAGTATCTGTCATAGCGTCTGGTACATAGTTGACACTTAATGAGTTCTCTTTTTACTTTTTTCCATGAGTACTAGTCTGTTGGTTAGATACAGCTTTTTAGTTATTAAAACTTATTTTTAATGTTATTATAAACTATGATAATTTTTATAAAGAAGAAATTTCAAGTGATAAATTATCTTAAGTATATGAATATTTTTCTGGGAAAAGCATTTTTTAAAATTACAATAAATACAGTTTGTTTGCTAAAATGATGGAACGTAAGATATAAAAGTGTTTAAAGAATCCTATAAAGCATTTATGTCAACAGTCCTATCATATGAACAGTCCTGTTGTAATGTGAATATTTATGACTCATTAGTTTGTTTAGTGAACTTATATCACAATTTATTTCTTAATATTATCTTGCTAATTAATCAGTTATTCCAGTAATTACCTTGAATTTTATAGCCACTTTAATAATTAAGCAACATCTTAATAATTAAATATTTCATTCTAATATTCTGATTAGTACTATTGTAATATGTAAAGCAACA